GGGGGGGGGGGGTTTGGGGGTGCGGCAGCAGGAAGAGAAGGAAGAGACTCCACACAAACAGCTGTTCACCGCTCGCTGCCCGGTTCTTGTGTTAAAAATGTCCGCTTAATAATAAATTTAAAAAAACTGCATCAACGCGCGATAATATAATTGTCGGCGTTAATTAATGAATGCATTACCATGATAATAATGCGTTAACTTGCCCAGCACTAGTGTATATATATATATATATATATATATTTGGAGAGTGGAGGATAAATTTAGAAGTCTCACAGCCTGAGGAAAGAAGCTGCTCTGAAGTCTGGTGTTACGGCAGCTTATATTTTTGTATCTCTTGCCAGGCGGCAGCAGAGTGAACAGGCTGTGGCTGGGTGGTTATTGTCTTTATCCTTTGGGCTCTTCGCAGGCACCTCTTCTCACCAATATCACCGATGCTTGGTAGATGGGTACCTGGGCAGTTTTAATCGCACGCTGTAGAGCCCTCCTGTCCTGGGCCATGCACATCCCATGGCAGTTTGTCATGTTTCCAGTCAAGGCCTTTTCTGTTGCTCCTCTGGCTCGGGAATTTTGCCCTCTTAAGTCTTAAGAAATACGTCCGTTTAGGAGCTTTCTTCACCAGGGTGTGTGTGATGACCATGTCAGGTTGTTTGTGATGATGTAGACAGGGGTGTGTATTCGCCTCCATTTATTTATTATTCAACAATCAGCTCCTTGGTTTCACTGCCTTTGAGCAGTAGGTTGTTCTGAGCAACACTTATAGAGATATTGGCTATGGAGAGATATTTACCCTCTGTATTATAATAATACATTTGCCCTTCAGGTAACTGGGGAACGAGAATTCCAAAGTGGAGGAATCAAAGCAATTTTTACCTCAACAGTCCTGGTGAAATATTTATTCATTGTATCCTTTGCTTGGTAAGTTTTAAGCACATTTTGGAATCTAGTCATACATTTAATTCAATACATTTTTGTGTCATTTTTGTGTTCTTGTGATTTGAAGGTTTTCATTAAATCTAGGCTACTTCTGCCTCATTCTGAATGTGGGTAAGCTTGGTCTGAACATCTTCCTGGTTCAGTTTCTGTTTGGGATCACTGAGGTGCCAGCACATTTCCTGTGTGTCTGGGTTCTGGAGTTGATAGGGAGGAAAAAATCCCTGATATCAACCCTCCTGACTGGCAGTTTCTTTTGCCTCCTAACCCTTGCTTGCCCTCGAGGTCAATTTCCTGTCCTTCACATTCGGTCCATGAGGATACATCCATCTGACTGTCAGTGGTTTAATACACTCAACTTGCATTTTAATTCCAGACAGTGCTATTGTCATCACAGCCCTTATAACCGCTGGAAAGTTCTTTTTGAACTGGGGCGGATCCGTATGCATGGTCTATATTCAGGAGTTGTTTCCCACTTCTGTCAGGTACTCAAAATAAAAGTATACTAAATAAGTGATTATGGATAATCTACATACGATGTATTTGAAAGTGAACTCCACTCTTTCAGGCAAACAGCCGTTGGCTTTGGCTCCATAGCCTATAGATCAGCAGGCTTGCTGTCTCCGTTGCTCAACATATTGGCTGTGTACCACTGGTCCATACCCATCGTAGTCTTCAGCAGCCTGACGCTGATCAGTGGAGCTCTTGTCTTCCTGCTTCCCGAGACGAGGAGAAAAGAGCTTCCTGATTCAACTATTGAGGCCGAGGGCCACAAGTAAGCAAGCTGCACGATTTACTGAGAAGTTGTGCCAATATTGGCTTTTATGGGGATCATTACAGCCGGTGGCATCCATCCACACTAGATCTGCTTTTCACAAGCTTGCACTCCTCAACATGTTTGATCTCGTTGGTTTCATCCATACAAAAAAATTAAATGTAAAAATTTCACTTTGTGGATAATTTGAGACTCGTAATTTCTCGTCCAGTTTAATTGAAACTAACCATACATGAACACACTTGCAGTGATTAAGTTAAAGATAACTTTTTTACAAAAAGTCGGACAGGTAAAGGTCAGAACTCTGCAGTCTAAACGTTGTCTTCCTTTTGTTTCTAGGAACATGACCAACGAGAACACAGGAAGTGACTCCAACATGGTCGAACACAACAGCAAAAAATCCACCAAACTCTAGTTGGAATACCGTATTTTTACAGATGTTGTTGTTATAGCATGAGCTAGCTATATAATGTTGAGTCGAATATTTTTATTTGGACCCGACTTTGCTGTCAGTGTTGCTGAGTCACCCAGTGTGTTTGCTCATGTACAGCGTCTGACTCAATCATGTGTCTTTATTGCTGTCATTTCTGTCTGTTGCTGTTTTACTGTTCTAGAAGTGGCCAGCTAAACGGCTGTTGTTAAGAAAAATAGCTTAGCAAGAAGGAATGAGGAACCCAGATCATGCACAGCAGCAAAAACAAAAACAAAAATCACTAAGTTACAAATTTACATGTGAGCTAACATGCAGTTGAGTTTCACATTCAGCAGACATGTGACCGACTACACCAGAATGCAATATATTGTTTTTCCAGTAGAATAACTGTGTGTAAAGCTACAGCTACATCATATCTCACCTGAGATCAAATCCCTCAGAGCAGTTTTTCTTTCTTTCTTTTTTTTTTTTACACATGACCCCTTAGTACAAAGCAAAATCGACTTTTGACCCTTTTACACAGGGTGTGTGAATGTGAGAAGTTCAACTGAAATGTAATTTTCTCCTCAGACGGTTTCATCTGAATGTTTTGAAAGGCCTAGAGATAACTGTATTGTATTTAACATAGAGAGATAATAAATAAAATAGAAAACCGAACTTTGTGTTGCTGGATTATGTTTTTCTGTTCTTACAACAAGTTATTAAACGCACAGAGGGCTGCGGAGGTCATTGGCTGTCGTTACTTTTTGATATTTTGGTTTCTTTTGAGCACTGAGTAATGTGATCTCACCGCAACTGTCTTCTCTTATATACAAATGTGCGAACACAACTTTAGTGTTTGACTTCTTCATAAACATTCTATCAATTCTGCTTCGGGGCGTCATAGTCTCTTACTGTTAGAAAATGATGCTCTCTATTTGATTCAGCTTAGCTGTTTGTTGCCAAAGTTGTGATGACTCCACATTATGTAACAGGTTTATCTTTCAGGTAAGAGTGTCGGAGAGGTTTGACGAGTCAGCATGTTGTAAAAGTTGGTGAAAGATCAACAGCACTTTCTGCGAGAGATAAGCGAAGTTATAGTACACTCTGCAAATAAATCTTCAGACAAGCAGCAGAGTGGCATTGGGTTTTTATTAGCAGCTCACTGGAAATAGATTATAGTGAGGTAAGACACCCTAACATAAAATCTTGTAAATTTTACTGAAGGCTTCAGATAAATGCTGTCTCATCCCTCCGGAAACATAGTCCAGGGTTTAAACATTAATGGACATTCTTTAAAGGTCATCGTGCAGCGACATCTAACTGAAAACCGCTTCCCTGAACATGGCCGATTTCGGACAGATTCTCAAGAGTATAGGAGAGTTTGGATTATTTCAGAAGATCACTATTTTTGCTCTTTGCTTCCCAAATGTTATTCTGCCTTTTCTCTTTGCCAGTGTATTTTTTATCCAGTCTGATCCAGAGCGACACTGTAACACAGACTGGATCCTTCAGGCTGACTCCAACCTGACCACAGATGAGCAGCTGAACCTGACTCTGCCCCGGGAGGAGGATGGGACCTTCAGCAGGTGTCAGATGTTTGTCCCCATGGACTGGAACATCGGGGCCATCACGGAGTACGGACTCAATGAGACCACAAGGTGCAGGAATGGATGGGTTTACTACAACACGCTCTATGATGCCACCATAGTCACCGATGTAAGTCATAGGTCTGTCTTATAGTCATTTATAATATACATGTTAAATAATCCTGATGAAATTAACATTTTTAGTCATTTTGTTTGCTTTTTCTACAGTTTGATCTAGTTTGTGACCAGGCTAATTTGTTGGAAGTGGCACAAGCAGTGTTGATGGCTGGCATTCTTATTGGTTGTGTCTTATTTGGACCTTTTGCTGAATCGTAAGTGTACTAGACGTAGTACAGAATATGTATTGTTGACTCTGTTTAAAAAAAAAAAAAAAAGAGTTTTTATACCACATATGCTGACACTAGGTTTTTATCTTTTCCAGGTTCGGTCGTAAATGGGCAGCTCAGATTTCACTCATTTTGTTGCTGATATTTACTCTAACAACTGGATTATGTCCCAACTTCTATTTATATTTGGCATCCCAGTTCGTGGCGGGAATTGGCTATGGAGGTTTTCGACTGAACGCCGTCATATTGGGTGAGCTATAGGTCACTCCGTCATTTGAAAAAAATACTTTTGGGTCAGTTTTTGTTAAACCAAGCATTTAACTCTTCATTTATAATGCAAATAAACTCACCATTGTTTTCATCCCAGTATAACCGCAGTGAAAGATAGCTTACTTACAACAAAGGGATTCTTTATGGAGTTTCAAAACTGACAAAATGTAGTCATAGGTCATTAAACATTTCAAAGGTGTAACTGAATACATGAATAATAACATTGTTAGACAGTGCATGTAAAGCTACCTTTCACCATAAAACTACTAGAGCCAGAGGAGATACTGTTAATCCTCTACTGAACTGCATACTGCTGTAGCATCGTAGCAGGAGCTAATGCATTTTTGTCATCAAAATAACGCTAACAAAGTTAGCTAGCTACTTAGAAGTTCACAGAAATCTTTCTTTATATCTTCAAGTGCATGTCTCTTGTCTTCATTTAATGACCACGTCTTTTAATCGACTAATGGATTTTGATCAACTAGCAATTATATTTCTCTTTACGCTCCATTTTAATTGTGTAGATAATTATTTATTGATGTATTCAGTTATTTTTTTAGAAACTTGTCTAATAACCATTTACAACATGTTGTCAGTTTTGGGGCTCCATAATTCTTGGGAGGGGTGGTGATGTTAGCACAATGAACTCCAGTGTAACTGTCACTGATTTCCTGTTTAGCCACTGAGTGGATCGGGCCGTCCAAAAGATCGTGGGGAGCATGTGTGACTCAGCTATTTGGTGCAGTTGGACAAGCCGTCCTCGCTGGTCTGATCTATTTCATCAGAGACTGGAGACTGGCTCAACTAATCACAGCATCTCTGTTTGCAGTTGTTGTGAGTTACATATGGTGTGCACATTATTCTTTTTTTATTAACCTTTTTTGTTTTAAAGGTGAACTACAGATCACTGATAAGTGTCACTGTCCTTGTTCCTGACAGGTTTATTCCAGAGTCAGCCAGGTGGTTGTTGGACAGAGGAAGGACAGAAGAGGCTAAACAGCTGATTACCAAAGTGGCAGCCATCAACAAACGCACTGTTCCAGAGTCTCTGATGGAAAAGGTACTGATCCTACACAAAAATAATATTCTTTATGCCACTATATCATAACTTAAATGCAATATTATATACACTGGTAATAGCAAACACATTATGGGGAATTCACTATTCCATGACAAAGTGTCTACAATTCAATGAATAGTATCTGTCTCTGAACAGTGTCAGAAAGATCTTCACTTAACGCCTTGTTAACTTTCGAGGAAAAAGTTGTATTGGATTATAATGGCTTGTAAACACTGCAGTGAATTGGTCCGTGCTGATTTGCAGTAAACCGTTTAGGATGAAATAACACAACGACTCACACGAAGAGTTAACAATATAAGAGTTTATCACCTGTCTGACACAGTGTGAACAAAAACTGAGTACGCTTTGCCAGGCTGTTGGATGACACGGTTTGCTAACACAAGCAAACATTAGCGTGATATTGTGTCCACCCCTTGTGTATTACAGATTGTTAAGAAAGAAACTGAGAAAAAGAGAGGCATAATAATACTTATCCAATCATCTGTGCTTAGGAAGTATTTCTTAGCCGTAACATTAGCATGGTAAGTTACATTTCATGATACCCATAACAACTCTACTTAGCCTACAAATGATGCATTGACATTGCTCAAGTAATAACACATTTCACAATTCATAATTCAAACTGTTTAACACTTGTTGTGTTTTTGTAAACCTTCAGGTTCTCATTGAATGTTACCTACTACTGCCTTTCATTCAATGTGGGAAATTTTGGCTTGAACATCTTCCTGACACAGCTTATGTTTGGTCTGAGTGAACTACCAGCGCATGTACTTTGCATCTGGCTGTTGGAGGCAGTGGGGAGAAAAGTGTCATTGATGTCAACTCTTCTGGTTGGGGGATTCTTGTGCATCTTAATCCTAGCTGTTCCCCAAGGTAACGCACTTCAGGTAGTGTTTCTCTGGCTGTTAGTCAGGGCACCACCTGGGTCCACCTGGGTTGCAATCAAAATTACTACAGATATTCATGATACTGATGTTAATGATCCCCTAACTTGAGTCAAATCTCAACAATGTTGGATTGATTGCTTCATTCTATGAACAACCTCACAGAGTCTCCATTATGGCCGCTTGTTCGACAGTAGTTTTTGTGTCTGACACTGTGTTATTCTGTTCAAGATGATGCTGTTGCTGTTACCACCTTGGCAATCTCAGGGCGTTTTTTCATAAACTGGGCAGGATCCATATGCAATGTGTATATTCAGGAGCTGTTCCCCACATCTTTTCGGTAAGCCATCTCCATCTGAGTCTCTCCATCTCACTGTAGTATGACGCATTGTGCAAAAGTACAATAGGAATATAGCACCTGCCTTTGATTGTTTGTGCACAATTAAAGGACACCAGTATGTTTACTGTTGGCTTGTCTTCTATTTGTTTAGTTGTCTTTGAGAATAAATTGTCCAGCCAGGGTTATATATTAGACTTGGTTACTTGGTTACTACTTGGTTTTGACCTGTTTTTAGTTGAGGAAGGTGAACATTATGATGATATGTGGGTCAGCCCAGCAGCTGTCAAGAACCATTTTCTCTTATGGGACACTAGCTTCAGTATTCACTGACGTGCTTTTTTTAAAGTGCTAACTGTTGCAGTCAAATTGGTTTAACATACGCAGAACAAATTAAGTCTTGCAGATACTAAATGGTGTTACTGTTCTTTTTAGTCAACTAATGTTGGACAGGTTGAATGCTTCTATCCAAAAGAAATGCACAGATTAAAGGCAATAAAACCACAATTGTATTATTTGTACTGCACTTAAAAAACTTATTTAGGAAGCTTTATGAGATTTAATCAAGTTTAGTACAATACGGTGTCACGATGGAATACTTTAAATTAAAAAGCGGTGCACGTCTGAGCTCTGTATGTCTCTGTTTCAGACAAACAGCCTCTGGTTTGGGCTCCACTGCAAGCAGAGTTGGTGGCTTGCTGGCCCCGTTGCTCAACATGTTGGCCGTGTACCACTGGTCCATACCCACCGTAGTTTTCAGCAGCCTGACACTGATCAGTGGAGCTCTGAGCTTCGTGCTCCCGGAGACCAGGAGAAGAGAGCTTCCTGATTCAACCGATGAGGCCGAGGGCAACAGGTAAAGCAAGCCGCAGGCCAGGACTCTGCACATCGAACACCTGTCCTTGTTAGCGAAATGTACAGTATAACAACTGCGGCCTTCAGGAGCAAATTGGGGTTCAGTATCATGTATCATTATCAAGGACACTTTGACTATTTATTGTGTTTGCTTCAGTGGTTTTGCAGGAAAAACTTTATTTGAATTAATCCAGTTATTGGTATAAAGACAAGACAACATTTTCGGTAAAGATGTTGAAAATAACATAACATAATTTTACTCTAAGATTAAAATTTTGTTTCATTATGAAGAACGGACTATTAGCATCTCCAAATTACAACATAGCTACTTTTAATCAATTCTAAGTACTGCGCACAATCAAATATGAAAACCCTTTTCCATTTGAGCTCAAGAAGTGACTACTCATTTTGTTTCTGTAGTTTTGTTAACAAAAAGATTTGACCGAAATAAATGGAATAAAAACATGTAACAAAAAGCAATCCGACTTAAGCAACATACTCTGTGTATTCATTTCTCCCACAGCACCCTGAAGAACCAAAGTGAATCAAACAAGCCTGCACAAAACATGTCCACCCGTCTGTAGTCTGGATGGGTGAAAACGGATACGTTTGGAAACGATGACGCCCACACCCGCATTCGCTACTTGATTGCTTCTTAGCAGTCACGACGTGTCCTTCCCACATTCGTCACGCACCTATCACGTGACCCTTTCCCGGAAGCTCACAAACAACATTGATTATTGATCGACTACCAGGTTAATTCAACTGATTACAGGTGTTGCTGACTTTGTCTTTACTAGCAGCTGTTGTCCAGTTAAAGTCTGCCTTTTTGCAGAGGAAGCAGCTGTTAATTAATGGAGCGATTAGTGAGCGGCGTGACCAGCGCAACAGTGGACGTCTGAAGTCACAGTTAGCGGCTTTAGGGAGGACGATGGACACAAAACGGCGGACTTTCCTTTCCTTATTAATGCTTATTTTGTTCTGCACAACAATTGTGAAGTCTGCAGATAAACTATAAAGGAACAAAACATGAATTGCTCTCCAGTACGACAGACTTCAGCCACCAGCAGAGCTACGAGTGAGAACAGACAACGAAATTGAGAGGGAACGAGTGAGAGATGTGTGTTGACCACATTTATGGACCCATAATCTAGTAAACCTTTATGTGTAAGTGTTGATTTTAAAGTAAATTTGATGTGAGTGAGAGAGAGAGATAGAGCAAGACCCGCAGCGCTGTAACTAAGTCTGAAAAATAAAACATCTAAAACTTTCCACGAAATTTGTCTGTTTGAGTTTATAGAGGAAGATTTTAGAGAAGATCTTAAGTATCAAATACGACCTTTCATTCTTAAAGACTTTATTACTCTGTCGTATATTTTTAAGCAACCAATTTACTTCCTGTTTACACGGCACCCACCCGCATGCCTAGTGCACGTGAATAGTCACGTGATATTCGTTTTCAGGCGTTTTAGTCTGGACGGAGATCATCTCGAAAACGAAGCTGAATGGAGTGTGGATGGAGATCGTTTGTTTTAAAACTCCGTTTTAAAGCAAAAACGTATTAGTGTGGATGTAGCCTAAGACTGCTAAAAACACTGAGAATAATCTTGCTGGTTGCCATTCATCACTGAATAAAACTCAAACAGTCCAATGTGTGTTGAGAACGAGTGGAGCTAAACACTGGACTTTTACCAATCCAAGCTGAATGCTAACGTGCTAACAGCAGCATTAGCTGGACTCAAATTTTACCACTCTAATCTGTGCTTGAGCTTTAACTGGAGCTGAATGCTAACATGCTAACTCTAGCATGTTAACACACATTTTACCAACTAATGGATGTTGAGACATGCTGGTATTTATTATGTAGTTTTTCGACATGTTAACAGTTACATGCCTCCACTGTGTATGGTGACATAGTATTTTAGCAAGTTAAGAGTTCTTACGTTAGCATGCCATGCTAGCATTAATCTCAAAGTACAGTAAAGATCGCAGGGATTCTGTCATTTGTTCTAGAGGAATACTGATTTTGGGGGTCAAAACCTGCATGTAGCAATCCAAATTTGGACGATTCATCTCCTGTGGAGCAAGAAAGTCAGTAAAAAACAAAAAAAAATGTTACATTGGACTTTTGCTTTGGACCAAGTGCTAGCATGCTAAAGTTTAGAGCGACCAAATTTCCACGTGCACACAAGAAATATCTAATTGTAATCGGAAGATTGGCATGAAACTTAAAGTATTTCATGCTTTCCATTTTGGACACTGCATTGGTTTTCTTGTTGTGTTGCCTTCAGGTCAAATAAGCACATACGATGTCTCAAAATCGAATGAGCTGATTGCTCTGGAAGTTACAGACGACATTAATGCTCACAAGGTAACAAATTATTTTTAAAACTTTTAATGACATAATGGCTTTTGTCTTGTGCCTCAGGACAAACTTTATATTTTCAGTCACTCCATCAGTTTTTACCTTGTACTGTAGTGTGTTACTTAAATTAATAACTGATCTATAACCATGGAGCATGGTTTCATCTGGACCCTGGTCCTTCCTCCAACCATGGCCCTGCTGACTCCAACTGCTAATATCGCTTTTATTATTACTCAAATTACTATTTCATAGTACCGATACCATTAATGCACATTATTGACCTGCTTCTTCACCAGAGTCTCTGTGCTTTCTCGCCTCACAGGTTCCTGTGTATCCGGGTTATACCTGGACCAGGTCTTGCCTCCAGATGCGTGGTTCTGTCATACATTGAATGTTTTGTAATTACATTGAATGTGTTGTAATTCACTTATCCTGTTCTACACATGACATCTATTGCACTTCTGTCCATCCTGGGAGAGAGATCCCTCCTCTGTTGCTCTCCCTAAAGTTTCTTCCTCTTTTCTCCCTGTTAAAGGGGTTTTTTGGGGGAGTTTTTCCTGTTCCGATGTGAGGGTCCCGGGACAAGAGGATGTCAAATGTGTACATATTGTAAAGCCCTCTGAGGCAAATTTGTAATTTGTGATTTTGGGCTATACAAAAATAAATTGAATTGAATTGAATTGAATCTGAGATCTACTTTTGACTGATATTTGATTGAATTGACAAAGCTCTCAATAAAAACTCTTCACACTGGTGGTCCGTGGGTTTTGCTGAACCAAAGGCACATTGTGGAAAAATGTACCTGTAGAAAAACATACTGTTTTTGATTTCCTTAAAAGTAATTATTTTATCCTTTTGAGAGGCACAAACCAAATACCATTCACCTTTTGGGGTGAGCAGAAGTCTGCAAATTAAATGGAAACTCTCTACAAGGAGGTAAATGATACAAAATGTTTTATGTGAATCAAACAGCTGCTAAGAACTTTATTGAAGTAGTAAAAGTACAACAGTCCATTTTTAAGAGAGGACAGCAACTTGAAATATTTGAAATGCTACTGAGATAGCACCTGGTCTGTTGACATAACTATACAAGTAAAGTCAAATTTCAGGTCTGCCGGTTATGGTAAACACACCTACAGAGATGTTTACTTTGATATTTCTATTTCTATTTCTGCTTTATATTTTATTAATCTGTGTGGGACCAAGTTCAATACTGAGAAAAAATACTTGCAAATGTATTCATTGTGCAACAGAGCTGATTTTAATCTTGTAGTTAATCCGAAGGTAAAAATAGTGTTGACATATACTTGTTGAGAAGGTGAGTCCAAAATGGGACACTGGTTAAACTAAGGCTCTAGAGGTTATAAAAAAATAAAAAATAAATGTTATGGTAACATTTTACAATAAGGTACACACAATCTTGAGTATAGGCACAAATTAGGAACAAACTGCTAGTAAACCATTTGTTAACGAAGAGTTAACAAATGGTCAACTCCTAATCAAACTCAGTAGCAATTTGGTATAGTGCACTTTACTTGAGGAGACACAGAAATAGAAACGTTGGGTAATAATGAAGTAATGATTTGTTATAGGTTAAGTGATGTTTAAAGTAATCAAGAACTTTCCATTCAATAGGGTACCCTCGCTGGACAAATCTGGCTTTCATGTCCATAACATCTTTAATGGTGTTGCTCTTCTTAGTCTAAAGAATTGGCCTTGTGGTAGACCTCTCTTAGTGGGGTTAGATGAAAACTGCTTGCCAACAAAAGCGTGTTGTTATTCCACTCCCGCATTGTTACTCAGAGTACAGCTGATCAGTTCTCAATGCACTTTTGCTGTGATATTAACACAAATCACAATGATGTTGAACCCTTAATACAGTCTTTTAATGAACATTGCACCACATTGCTGGATAAAGAGGCACCTCTTAAGGAAAGGACCAAGGCTGCCTATAACACTTCTCCGTGGATGACAGACGCTGTCTGCAGCCTGAGACGGAAGTGTCGCAGGACAGAGCGCTCTGGAAAGCCACTGGGCTAGAAGAAAAATATTTTTGTAACATGATGCAAACGGTATGATGTCTATAAAGTAACTGCATGCATTTAGTTTAACAAAATTTGCCTTATTCAAGTTCATTAAAGTATTGATTGTACAATGTGTACCTCATAAACTCTTTTAGGTTTTAAGTCAGAAATGGCGTAAAATCCGGTCATCGGTTTTCTTGACACCCAAATGCCCTGACCCATCATGAGCAAGTCTTACCACATGACCACGAAGCTTGGATGGAAGGACGACTTGAAAAATGGGATCCCCAACAAAATCCTCACCATGGGACTCTCACTTCCTCACCAAAATACCATCCTGAAGAAAGTAGGCCCCGGAAACACGTTTCACCTCACCAACTGACAGCACTGACCCAAACAGCTCCTCCAAGCATGGATCCGCTCTCTGTTCACTCTGCAGATCACTATGAGACACAGACAAAGGAAAATCAGGTAAACGCAGAAAATTTTTCTCCACGTCCCCATCTACCCCCTTTGACTCAGCGCGACTCATCACCCACGTAACCGCACATGCGGGGAAAACGTTGAAGTGACTATCTGAGGAAAAGGCACATTTGCCCAAACACGGTTGCCAGCCAAGTTGTTGCCCAAAATGATGTCAATCCCTTCCACTGGTAACGCTCATCTCACACCAACGGGCACTTTGCCCTTCACCAAGCCACAGTCTAGATTCATATGCATCGGGACATGCAACACCCTCAAGCCCATTCCTCGCATCAGGATTTTATCCTCTGTGTCTGTCTCATCTGAAAACGACAAAATAGACTCCCGAACATAGGAGTTGACAGCACCCGTATCCCTCAAAATCTTAACGGCACCTTAATGTCACTACCAGTCTGTGTTACAAAACCTTCTGAGACAAAAGGACTCATCTGGGCTAACAGCCACGCCAGATTCCACATGGCCACCTGGCCACACTCCCACATCCACAGGACCAGGAACGTTTGCAGCCAGTGCAGAAGATTTTACCCGCCCGTAAATGCCCAAAATTAGCGTTTAAAAAAGTGAATAGGATTTTTTACATTCGATTTTGGAATTATTGAAAAAAATACTGTATGATACTGTTTTGTTGAGCAAGATGATCTATACAAATGAAGATCTAAATGAACACCACTTTTATGGTTTTGAAGGGTAAATGCATTCAATAGAAGTAAAAAGTTAGCTTCAAACTAACTGCATGAGCGCGAGTATACCAAAAGGGGCTGTGACGATGCTTTGTAGTCTCATTTATTCATTTATCAGCAACCACATTTTTAAGTCGCGTAAAAGCTTTAAAATTCACAAGTGAGGTATTTACTTACGTATTTTATATCGTAGAAAGAAAAAGGTTAAAATCTCTTAAGCTTGTGTTTACCACAGACCTTTTTTAGATATCTAACACAAACCCATTCAAAAACCTGTCGACTACAAGACAAGAGAACCAGAAGTGCAAAGAACTGTAACTCATTTGCGGTTTTTATGACTCATTCCTGTACCACTTTAGAAGTTGCTAGAAGCAAGGCTTGCTCATTAGCTAAGTAGAAACCTACGAATTTCTCCAATAATTTACAAGACTTTTTTACCACCACTTTACTTTACTGTTATTGCCATTCTCGCCGTTGTGCCAGTGTCTATACCAGACTTGCTTTGTGTTTCTTTGTTTGGGCAAAACAAACTGTAAAATTCGGCCTCATATATTGCTTATCATTTGAACCAAATTTAATTCCATAGAGATTGCTACAAGTATTTCAAGGTACACGTAGTTAGTTGCAGCCTAAAACAATTAAATGGTCTGGAAATGACATGATGATGATATCAATCATCCGCATCTACTTTTTCTCTCCTGACCAGCAGGATGCACGGTACACAATATGATTGCTAACCTTTTGGCTGCAATGGCCATACATGGCACAAGCTCAACTTTTAATGTGTTCAGCTTTCAAAGTAAAATGATAATTTCAAGTAACACTCTGCTCCTGAGGGTAGTCAAATCATTTACTTTCACCTGCATCAATTGTGCACGGCATCGTTTTATATCACTTTAGTTACCAATTTGAATTAGTTTAACGATGTCTGTGCAGGTTAGTTGACCACCAGTCAATATAATAAATCTTTGTGCTTGAAAATAAGTTAGTTGGGTTAAACATTAATGGATTAATGGATATATCTCACATTTCAAAGTGAGATATATCTGATACCAACATGGCAGATTTTTGGAGAGATCCTGAGGAGCATTGGAGAATTTGGGTTATTCCAGCAGCTCACTCTGATTGCACTTTGCTTTCCAAATTTCATTCAGTCTTTTATCTTAGCAAGCTTTCTTTGTATCCAGTCTGATCCAGAGCGACACTGTAACACAGACTGGATCCTTCAGGCTGACTCCAACCTGACCACAGATGAGCAGCTGAACCTGACTCTGACCCGGGAGGAGGATGGGACCTTCAGCAGTGCTGTTCCTGTGTGCTGGATGAAATCCCTCTGTTAAACCACAAATTGTTTACTTCTGGTTTTGTGTGGATGCAAGGATGATGTATTTTTTGGAGGCCAACCCGAGAAATTAGCATCAACAAAAAGCTAATGTGTTTTTTGATGTTTGATTTTGGATTATTGAAAAAAACTAAAAAGCTCTGTGGCAAACAAACATTTATGATACTTATACATTTTGTTTAGCAAGTCACAAATTAACATGGATCAAATGAACAAGATACAACATTCATTTGGAAGCATTAAAGGTGATTGTTTCCCAAAATGTTGAACTATTTCTCCAAATCCTGACCATTAACTTACAGGAGACAAACACAAATACCTACAAAGGCAGGTGAGTGGCGATGAGTGGGGTTTGCAGAGGGAAAAGCCAGGGGTAGGTGATTTGGCACAGGTGGAGAGACACACACACAACCGTGACAATATGATTTCTTAAATTCTGGTTTTCACAGTTTTTGCGTTAACAGGTCAACCATTTGGTCCATTTAATTACTGACTACAGATGGTGAAACATTTATTTGAACCTGAGCTTATATACGAAATTCAACCAGAGTTTCACACATCATCTGCAGTGTGAAAATGGTGGATTTTGGAGAGATTCTGAGGACCATCGGAGAGTTTGGCTTCTTCCAGAAGCTCACTCTGATTGCGTTAGCCTTCCCAAATTTCTTTTTACCCATCTTATTTTGCAGTTTTCTTTTTATCCAGTCTGATCCAGAGCGACACTGTAACACAGACTGGATCCTTCAGGCTGACTCCAACCTGACCACAGATGAGCAGCTGAACCTGACTCTGCCCCGGGAGGAGGATGGGACCTTCAGCAGGTGTCAGATGTTTGTCCCTGTGGACTGGGACATCGGGGCCATCAGGGAGTACGGACTCAATGAGACCACAGGGTGCAGGAATGGATGGGTTTACTACAACACGACGTATGATGCCACCATAATCACTGATGTAAGTAATGAGTGTAGAAACTGAAGAAATTACCGTCATAAAATTCCTTCATTAAATGTTTTTTTCTTTGCAGTTTGATCTAGTTTGTGACAAAGCTAACTTTGTGGAAGTGATACAAGCAGTGGTCATGGCCGGTGTTCTTGTTGGTTCTGTTATATTTGGACCTTTTGCTGAATCGTAAGTGTATTTCATGCAGTAAAAAACAACCCCACACACAGCTCCCATTCATAAATATTAATTTTTACAATTTAGAAAGAAGATGCAATTAGTTTCCAACAATAAACTAGATACTAGCAGGGTATCGGCATGTCTTGAATTTAGTTTTCTAACAAAAAGGTCGTGAATGTCTAACCTTTTTGCTTATTACCAACTTTTTTTATTGCTTAACATGGGTAACAAACATAAACAAACAAATACACAGCAAATAATCCCAATCCTGAATTAAGTTAGCGTGAGTCATTTGTATTGGTTAATCCATCCATCCATTTTATACTGCTTATCCAGGTCATGTTAATTTAATTAATTGCGTTATTAGGAATTATTGTTGTATACTGCTGAGATGTACTGAATGTCATATTTAGTTCTGACTAGCTTTCCATCATACTTGGCATTTCTAGTGTTGATTCATATTCCTTATGTGTCCATATTAAACATCTATTGTTCACTAAATAAACTATTTAGTTAATTTGTAGATGAGATGAAATTAGGTGCATTGTAGCTATTGCAGTCTTTCTTCCAATTAGCACCATTATTTATTTTTCTTCTGTGCTTTGACCATAAGAGAAGCTGGTCATTTCTTCTAAACTGTATCGTTTTGTTCATGTCTTTCTGTTGCAGATTTGGTCGCAAACGAGCAACTCAAATTACAGCAGTTCTATTGTTCATATTTACTGTAACAATAGCACTATCCCCCAATGTCTACTTATACTTAGCATCCATGTTCATGGTGGGAGTTGCAGGGGGAGGCTATCGAATCAACTGCATTATACTGGGTATGAACTATGTGCAGGTATCATTTTACATCACATGTGACATTGATTTTTATTTTCCAAATCAAACTATCATGGGACTTTAGACAATAAAACTTATTGAAGACACTTGCGTAATAGCAAATTGATGGCAATTATATTATTAGAAATATTGATTAATCAAATGATCTATAGAAGTAAATTATGAGAAGAACAAAATATATTATCATTGACCACCATTTGGTTTGTTGCTGTTACAATGTCAGTTAATGTTCCTATAAGTTGTGTATGGCATTATAGCATCTTTCAAGTTATACTTCTAGCATTTGTTTTTGTTTGTTGAAAACTAAAACAATCCCAGTCAAAACTGGTAACTTAAAAAACTTGTATATCTTCCTGATTGCAGCCACTGAGTGGATCGGGCCGTCCAAAAGATCGTGGGGAGCATGTGTGACTCAGTTATTTGATGCAGTTGGACAGTGCGTCGTCGCTGGTCTGATCTATTTCATCAGAGACTGGAGACTGGCTCAACTAATCACCGCATCTCCAATGCTTGTGGTTGTTTTCTACATATGGTGTGCATCAACTATTTTTTATTGCCTTTTATATTTTCATTTGTAAATGATTGACTATTTGAACTGTCACTTTCTCTGTTTCTTTGAGGTTCATTCCAGAGTCAGCCAGATGGTTGTTAAGCAGAGGAAGGACAGAAGAGGCCAAACAGCTGATCGTCAAGGCGGCCGCCATCAACAAACGCACTGTTCCACACTCTCTTCTAAACAATGTACTGACCCCTCACATTTCCTTTTTTTCCCCCATTATCCATAGTTTTGGGTAAAAATTTATGCTGCTTAAACGTATTTGTTACTGCTTTTTACGAATCGCAGTAAACTATTAATATGTCTTGATATGAAAATAAATTTTAGTTTTACTAAAGACTTTTTGTTACAGATTGCTGTGAAAGAGGTTGGGAACAAAGGAGGCATTAAAGTTATTTTCAGATTACCTGTACTGACTAAATATATCTTCATCATAACATTGGCATGGTGAGTGGAAATTTCCATGAGCTCCACTAACGTCTTAAAAATACATTACTTTAATCTTTAATAAAAAAATGTTTTTAACTTTAATAAAAGTAAGATCACTCTACATATAGTCATAAACATGGAAATTAGCTCAAGGGACCAAAAATGTTTTTTGTACCAGGCTGTAAACAGCTATAAAGTGGGCAATTTATCATGGGGGTCTATGAAGATTGACTTTTTACTTTTGGAGCCAGCCCCAAGTGGCCATTTGAGGAACAGCAGGGGCAAACTGTACCTTAATATGGAAAATGTGCTGATTAAGCCACACATTGGTCATGTTCGGACAGCCAAAGTGGTTAGTTGGGAGGTCATTTGATGCTGCGATTGAGACTAAGATGTTAATAATGCTATTTAGGACAAGACTAATGTGTTTCTTCCTGTCTTCAAACTCAGGTTTTCACTGAGCCTTTCCATCTACTACTTGTACTTCAATATGGGAAACCTCGGCTTCAGTATCTTTCTGACACAGTTCTTGTTTGGTGCTATTGAAATACCAGCTCAAACTCTGTGTATGTGGCTGCTGGAGGTTTTTGGCAGAAAGAAAATATTTGTAGCAACACTTCTGACAGGAGGACTCTCTTGCATACTTATCCTGGCTGTTCAAGGTAATCCCCTTTACAATTTTTAAGCAAAATGATAGCTTTGTGTTTTTGTCCTGTGTGTCTGTTCTCAACTTTTGTTTTTGTACGTTTCTTTTTTTCAGGATATGCCATTGCCATTATGTCCTTAGCTGTTGTGGCACGTTTTTTCCTGCTCTCCAGTATTACTACATGTAATGTTTTTGTTCAGGAGCTGTTTCCAACATCTGTTAGGTAGGTGTTCACAGGCTTCATGTGAAACAGCATTTAAGATGTACTAAATGGCGTCCAATGGCCTTAGGTCTTTATTTAGAGCCCCTCTGGCCGTTTCAAAGTTGAGGTTGTGGGTAAATGTGCACCGCTGTGTCTGTCCACAGCTAATCTCGCATTCTGCTGTAGCAAATTTCCTAATATTTAGGGTGCCTACTTATGGCTGTATGCTCAAGGACCTCTTGCAAACAAGCTTTTATTGCCTTTTTACTGTCCTCTGTCTCCTCACTCATTCGGTGTGGCTTTGTAGCACAAAGGCAGTAAAAATACCTGTGCAAAAGCACACTGACTATGATCCTGCAGGCTTAATCATATTCTTCTGGGCGAAAGTACAAAAGTTTGCCGCGTTTCTCGTCGCAGAAAAAATGCGGAAAAATACATCAAAACGTGCAGCCTGATTTACTTGAATGGGGTTTTGGCGTGAAGAGAGCAAAATAACCACTTAACTTTGGGCCCGCATTGACTAGCCATACTTTAACGTAGAAAAATGATTCAAAGTTTAAAACGTTGACAAAATGCTGAACTTTATTGAGCCAAATGGGCATTTTGATAGCTAGCACAGTTTTCATGAAGTCACAGATTAAGTTTCAGGAAAATTTTGGGTCCGTTTCAGATTTTATAATGGGTGTGTATTGCACGGCTCGTTAAGTGTTAGAGTGATGACATCACGGTCAGAGTGGAGCAACCATGAAAAGTATTCTGGGAACATATTTTTCCAAAAAGATTGTAAATTTGGTGCTGGTCTCAGTGAAGTGTCTCTGGAATCCAACGGATTTACACATTTGGCTCAAAGAGCCGCAGAGCGACATGAACTCCAACCAACTGCTCCATTCGACTCCATGTTAAATCTGACCACTCATTTCTCAAAGAAAGCAGATGGTACCAGTTTTGTATTTTGCCCTGTAGCTCACATTTTGAACACTACAAACATAAAAACCACATCAGCGCGTTAGTCACTGTATAGTCTTACCCCTCTAGTTCTAAATGACATTTTGCTATTTGATCCAAATGTGTAAATGTCTTCTATTTTTCCACTCTTCCTTCCCCTTTCAGACAAACAGCCACAGCTTTAGGATCCATATCAGGAAGAGTAGGTGGATTACTGGCTCCTCTGCTCAACATCTTGGCCATGTACCACTGGGCCATACCCACCATAGTCTTCAGCAGCTTAATTCTCCTCAGTGGAGCTCTCTGTTTCATGCTTCCTGAGACCAGGAGAAAAGAGCTTCCTGAGTCAGTCGATGAGGCCGAGTTCAACAGCTAACTATCGCAAATATGTTCCATCATGACATGTCATTAGACAAATTGATCTCTCACATTTTATCATTTGCTCCCTGATATCACTCATCTCTCCTTTGACTTTCAGAGACGGGACCTCCACAAACACAGCCAGTTGTTCAAGTCCAAAATCAACCAAGATGTAAATGTGTTTAAAACCTAGAATGCATTTACTTCAAACTGCACGTCATATCTTCACATCATATAAACACACCAAAAGCAGCTGTAAAAGTTATAAAGTGGTGTACACACAAAGGTCTCTTGCCATGTAATTTTGTTTTTATTGCTCTGCTTCATTTGTAAATAACCGAGTTGTAATTAATCTGTTAATAATGAGCTACATTGTTTTTAGTGATTTTTACGCTTAACACACGATAATAATCAAATGTTCATAATTTATGCATTAAGAATGTCTATAGTCATTTCCCTTATAATTGTAGAAACATACGTATAGCCTTATTAAAAAAATATATACATTGCTCAAGCTAATTCTTTCGCTAAAGCTAAGACTTGACAAGAAATTAATTGGAAGTTAAAGATATAGTTTATACTTGTTCTTGCCAAGAGTTATATGACAAAATTGAAACCACTTTCCTGTCCGTACGGTGAATATGAAGACACCACCAGCTGCTTAGCTTAACTTAGCACAAAGACTGGAAAGGGGGGGAAACAGCCTGCTCTGTCAAAATGTAACAGCACCCTCTAGAGCTCGCAAAAAGTTCTCAGTTAAAAAATGATTAATGTGAAACCAATAAATTGTTCCCATCCCAGACAACGTCTAGCACATAGCCCCCTGGTAAAATCTCCAGCGCTTTTATAATGTGTTAACTATTGAACTTGCGAGGTGCTGGTGGGTGGATTCTGTTACTTTTGGGCAGAGCTAGGCCACCTGTTCACCAGATCAGTTCACATTCTGATGTAGAATATTCACCATTTCGGACTGCATGAGGTTGTGCTGATTACCAGGTTATTTGACAAACACTATGGATATGCGGCCAGGCACAATGATACACCAGGAAAATCCACTTCAACTGATTTATTGTAGACATGTGCAGGGCAGATGAGGCTGGCACAATCTATGTTGGTTTTCATCTAAACCGAAATATATACACAAGGTATACCATGCACACATTTATACTTTTTAACAGACTAGAATTAACACAATGTTTATCAGTTTAAATAACTAAAGGTACTGCAATTAATGTACATAGAGAAAGGAAACTTGCATGTTTACTCAGACAAGGATTGAGTCCAGTAGAGAGCCCAGGGTTTTTTAATAAAATAAAGGGTTGCCCTGGAATTTAGTATATGAGATGCTGTCTGGCAATTTAATTTAGTTAAACTTTCAAAACTCCCTCAGTGCTTTAAAGTCGACATTTTATTCCAGATTGATCATCAGTAGGACACAGCATTTCATATCAGAATATGTACAATTTTATTTTCCAGAATTCATAAAGCCATTTTACAGTCTTGACTCTTTATTAACTATTCATTCATGTGGAATCACTTTAAAACTGTTATTCTAAAAATGTCACATCTTTTACTTCTCTTTGAAAAAAAATCACATCTATGTCATCAATTGCATTTATTTTCCAGCTGTAATGTAAAGACACATACTGTATTTACCACACAAAATTGAAATAAAATGTATTTTAAAGATTGTGTTTGATACAGATTTGTTATTAAAGGCAAAGGTAAATTAAATCAATATTCCTTGTGCTTTTCTAAAACTAATTTAATGTAAAGTGGTTATCATATCCATACAGTTAAAACAAATTGCTTTAAAAAAAACATCTCTATATATTTTTTTTGGGTACTTTCCAACGATGTGTATAACATCATGTAAACTCTTGCTTTTACCCGAGCAAATCATCCATCCAGCTACTGTTTGTGACAGTGCTTTCAGATGTTTGCTCAGTGCTGTTGTTATCAGACACTAAAAGACTGTCCACAAATAAATTGACATCACTTGGCTCAGACACGGGCAGCAGCTGTAGTTCTGATGCAAAGATGTCATCAGCAAAAAGACCAGGCTGAGCTGAAGCAGCGGCAGTAGAAGATGTATCTGAACCAAGCAAATCATTCAGGGAGTTAGAGGTGGCTGGGGTGGATGGCAGCAACGTAAACACATTACTAACTCCGAAGATGTCATCCGGAAAGTCGGACGGTTGGTTTGAAGAAGCAAAAGCTCCTCCTTGATGAGGCACTTTCACATCAGGTGGCTGAGTGAACAGAGTGCCGTTTGAGCCAAAAATGTCAAAGTCTGCATCCTGCTCTCTTGTCTGGCTGTTTGTACCGGAAGGACTTGAGGTTTGAGCTTCATCTGGGTTTACGGGTGCTGAAGTCGGGACAATAAGCTGATCTGTCAAGCCGAGCATCACGTCGTTCTCAGCCGATATAAGGTGAGAGTCAAGCTGGCGGAAAGTATCGGTGGAAGCAGCTTCGGGCCAAGCTGCGTCAACGAAAGAAGACAAAAATGTATCACTGGGGCTGATTGGATTAGAGGAATCTTGAGGACCTTCACGGTTGAGATCAAGAAGCGCTCCACCGAACAGGTCTCTTCCACTTTTGTCTGATGCATCAAGCACTTCATTTGGCTTTTGAGCAGATTCGTCAGTATTTATCTGAATGGCTAACAGGTCATCGGGGGCTGAACTGACACTGTCCCCAAAAAAATCATCATTAAATGGAGCACTTAAAATGTCATCACCACTTCTCTCAGCTACTAACTGATTGATTGACTCCTCCGATGCTTGACTCACTGACTCCACAGTACTCGGGAGATCTTTAGACTTAGCTTTTCCAGGATCAGTTGCAGAAAGGCCTGTAGACTCACTGCTTTGCAAATCAGATTCATGATCATCAGTTTGTTCTGGAGCTGTTTGGTCATCTCCTGTTTCCCTTGTTGAAGTCTTGTGAAGGTTGGATGGCTCTGTGGATTTGCTGAAAGCCCCACTTATGCTACTCTCCATTGTGTTGGGCTCCGCAAGAACAGACTGTCCCTTTACATGCTCTCCAGCCTCTTGATCCTGAGGTGGTACTTGAGACACATTGCTCTCCTTTTGTACCTCTTTTGTAACGGCCTCCTTTACCTCTTCTGTCTTTTTGTCATCATCATGTGTTTTGTCATTACTTTCATCTCGCGCAGCTGATTGTGTGACGTCCTCAGCCTTTTCCGAGGATGAGTGAAACAGTCTTCCTAAGAGGCCACCGCTAGGTTTGACATCTCTTGGTCCAGCCTTGTTTGTCTTGTCATTTCCACCTGATGTGAAGAGCTTTGACAAAGGACTCTTTCCTTTGGACCAGGATCCCAGTTTGACTTTTGTCTTTTCAGCCGGTTTTGCAGAGCCCATCAGAGAATTTGTTCTCAAAACAGGCTTCTTCTGACCTCTGACATTTTCCTTGTCATTGGCTGACTCACCCTTTTCAAATTGATTTTTATTCCTCTCAAGACCAGCCTCCTCTCCATGCATATGTTCCGCCGGACTGTGCAGAGTGCTTGGACTTTCTGATTCACAGTGGTTGACGGAGTTTCTTGGAATGACATGCGATACCTCAGATGGCTCTTGGTGTTTCACATCCTCTTGAGGTGAATTAAAGGTTTCAGTGAAACTCTGAGTATCAAGTGATTCCTCAACCTTGACTACAAGTCCATTCAGAACTGTTATATCAGTCTGTGGGACCTCTTGACTGCTCTCCACTTCAACAACAGGCTTTCTCTCTTTCAAAGTACTGCTTGTTTCTCCATAGCATTTATATTCAGGGATTTCAAGGTGTGCCTCACTTTCTTGTTCTCTGCTGAACTCAAATGACAATTGATCAACGTTCTTTTGATCACTGCCATCTTCTGTATCCTTGGATTTATTCCCTTTGCTCTGTTCAGTTTGGTTTGAAAGCTGCGCACTGTGCTCTTCATTTTTGGCTTCCGTGGTCAGTTGAGAGGACAGGTCATACTGAGCAACATCAACATTTGGAGCAAATCGTACAGACTTCTTAGCTTTATTCGGATAAGCGTCCAGCCTGTTAGATGTTTGATTGTTTGTTTTTGAAGTGTGTGCCATATTTTTCTCTCCAGATTTCTGTTTTGTGACAGGATTGCCCTTTCCTACAGAGGGCAGAGAAAAGTTAAGTCCTGTCGAGGAGATGCTGTCTTTGGTTGGATCACTCCTGAATTTTGTTTGCTCTGATGGCAACTTCTCACCTGAGGTATAAACTGTTGTCTTAGATTGCTCGTTGACCCCTGAAATGAAGGAGCTTGACAATGTCTTTCCTTTATCCTTCATTTCTCCACCATGGTTGATCTTTATTTGGTTGTTGTCACTTTTGTGATGCTCTGCAGTCGATGCTCTGCCAATGTCAGATATCTTATTTTTCACATGTGTCCGCTGTGCTGGATAAAACCCAGGACTCTTCTTCTCTGGTGGCCAGCTCATTTTTAGTTTGCCCTTAACATCAGCACCACTGTTGTATACCATTTCTCTTGCAGACACATTTTTAACATACACACCAGCAGAGGACTCTCTGGATCCATCAGACGCGTTTGAATTGCTTTTTGTCATTTTGGGAGTGGACGCAGCGTCTGGCTCATCTATGACTGTATTTTTCTGAAGCCAGCGGTCTTTATGTTGCTTGTGCCCAAATCCTTCATCATAATTTCCTGTTCTTTTAAAAAGCTGTTGGTAGTGAGAAATGCAGTAGAACTCTCCATAAAGAGATGCATAGTTGTGGATGCTGCAATAAAGTAAAACAACGTATTTTATAATATAAGGATAAAAGTAAAATCAGATTTAATTTATTATAAGATTTATTTGTGCTAGATCAGCTGCAGATGATTTCAATGCATTGGAGATTTGCAATAGTCAGAGTAATTTCTAGTTTTTACAGTGTTTTAGCTCATTCATGTTAGAATTTTCATTCAATTCATGTCGTATTCATTTTACAACAATTGATCTCAGTAACTTTATCATACTGTGGAAAATATCTCACCTGAGTTTCTTCTTACAATGTTTACAGCAGAAACAGTTGCTGTGCAGGATAAGTTTATTGGCCACCATTTTTTCCATTGGATAGACAGGTGTCAAACAGGCGGAACACATATCCTTGACTGGTGAATGGAACTATGATGATAAAACAAATTCAGTTTAAGGTATTTTATGTAAAACATTTAAATTAATCTGGCCTCTGTGTCATCATTTTATTTCTCCAACATTATTTCTGCATTGGAATGCTTTATTATGGTTTTAAAAAAAAAATTATTTTTGTTCTTTTGTTTTCCACAAAACAAAAAATGCAGAACAAAGGCTGGGGACTGCTTGCTGCACTGAAGTCCTGTCCTGATTTCACCCAAGCATTGCGAAGTGCTGTAACTCAACAACACACAGATGACCATTTGATAGATCAGTGCATCTACTCTCAACCACTGGGCCTGGGCCCACATGTGGGCCTCAGATCACCATCTAGTGGGCCTTAGAGATACTGCCAAAAGGTTAGATCAAATTCAAATACTTTTTGGGTAATTAACAAAGCTAGTTATGCTAGTTATTTTTATTTCTAGTAAACATAGTAATTCAAACAAAGCATAATTTCAATGACCAGTTACGTTTGAATCTCACCACACCAGATGCAGTGACACAAAATAAACTGGTTTTTGAAACAGAAAAGTGATGTGGAAGACAACCATGCGCCAGTTGAAGCTCCAAAGCCTGTGGTGAGGAAATACGACCCAGTACATTAAATTTGGATTCACAATGCAAAGCAGTGATGGGTGAGAGTGAGCAGAATATATGTTTTGGTCATTACAGCTGTTAGAGGCATAACACATATTTAAAGCCAAGTTTATTTTTTTCTCTCTTTTTGGTCATTTTGTTTTTTTCTCATTTCAGAAGCCCTGGATTAGTCGATAGCTTGCTGGCTGACACCATTCAGTTTAATATGTAAATAAGACAGTTGTGGAATTGTTAGAGGGCATATTATTCTGATTGATCAAGGCAAACTGTTTTCACCTCCCTCCATTACAAAGCAAATCGCATTTTTACACTTATTTAAACAAATGAGAGATAATATGTTAATAAGTGAGCTTTAAAAGGTGCTGATAGGCGAATTTTGTTATGTTCGGACTGAGCTAGGCTAGCTGTTTCCCCTTGTTTCCAGTCATTGTCTTTAGGTAAGCTAGCTGGCTGCTGGCTTACATTTAGCACACAAATACGAGAGTGGTCTTCTCTTCTAACTCTCCGACAGAAAACAAATAAGTGAATTTCCAAAAGTCTTAAACTGTTTCTTTTGGCAAACTTACCCATTTTGATTGCTAGAATCATTTAGAGAATATGCATAAGGAGTAAACATTTAGTAGATTCCACGACTGCAAGCTCACCTTCCTGTATTGTAATATCAATGGTTGTTGATATCACTTTCAATATCCAATTCACTTTAGGTTTTAAAAGTTGTGGAAAAATGAGAGACCAGTATGAAGAAAAAAAGTCACTTTTTACAATCAAATATTTTAAATTGTTGTTTATTTGACAATTTACACAACAGAACAACTGCATATGTTTAATACAAGAACTTAAGAGTTTAGCATGTGGTTACAGTATAAAATCCAGACGACAAATAATATTTTCATTAAAATGCAACATTTTAGTGATTGAATAAGATCAATTTTATAACTAACAAAACCTTCTCATAAAAACATATTGTAATAAATACACAAATGGAATAACTGATTTCCTAAAAGGCAGGTAAATGCACTGCATGTCTTCTTTAGTGCTTTTCCTTTGGTTGGCTAAATGTTACAAACACCGTCCCGTCCTCATTGGTGTGGTTCGACACTTTATCTTCAAAAAGGCGACCAGATCTTCGAATCAATGGCGATGTCATGACTTCGTATCTGGCTGGATTACCGACTACTTCAAACAGTGCTGATGATTTACGGTCAGACTGTTTGGTGACAAATGTTGAAGTCACAGATGAAACAAATACATTGCCAAAGCCATCAGTCTCTTTGTATGTTTCACTGACAGTCTTTGTGCCAACTATTCCAGCGGGTTGCTCTGGAGCCGTTTTCACTTCGATCACGCTAACCTTGCGTTGTGCAGGACTCTGACCGTTCTTTGGCGGTTCATTAGCAGCAGACTTCTGTCTGAGATCACCATTTGCATCATGGTAATTTTTAGAATTACCCTCTGTTTTTGGTTTAAATGTTGACATGGGTAACTTTGGTTGTTCAAGAGACTTTCTGGCAGCTGAGTGAATGGAGATGAATGATGGAGAAGACTGGGAAGAGGACTGTCTGATGAGTGGCTTGTTGAGGACCTTTCTGTGCACTTCTTGTTTAGAAGGACTTGAATCCAAAACAGTTTCTTTGGTTTGACCCAATTTGGCCTTGCTTGACACAATACTTATTTTCCTGATGTTGTTGGCAGGTTGGAAGTTTTGCTCAGATTTCAAAGATTCATCAAATAGTCCTGACAACCCTGAGATGTCAGCCTCAGATTTCAGATTGGAGACGGAGTACAAAGCCTTTTTAATGGCCTCTTCAATGTCAAGAAGTTTTGCTAATGTTTGTTCCTTCAGATTCATTATTTCCTTGCTTGCCTTTTCCAGATCTTCAAATGCAGTTTCAACTGACGAGATGCTTTCTAGATCATCGTCATGTGTCTCTACTTCAACTTTCTTTTCCTCCATTTTACTTTGCTTTGCATCTCCACTTGGTGTAACCATCCAAGCAGGGACAGTCTCATATAACGTCTTGAAGGAGCTAACATCTATACTGCTGTCATCTCCCTCTATGTCTTGCACTTGAGACAGGATTCCTTGGAGTTCCTCTCGTTTCCTCAGATTTTCAAAGATTTCCATGGCTGCTTTCTCATTTCCCTTCATGATCTCCTCCTTGTGGACAGAAAGCCTTTGTCGTCTTTCATCATCTGTCTCCTTTAATTTCTTCTCTCTTAAAACAACTTTATCCTCGAGTTTGGGTGGCTTTTCATTGAGGTCATTTTGCTGTTCATGGCATCTCTTGGTCTTTGATGTTTGCAGTGCGTCATCGGTGTTGAGTTTCTTCTTGGGAGGTGATTTGTGTTGGTGAGCAGTGGTTTTGTTGGTTTGTTTATGGTCACTTACATTTTCATTTAGCACTTTTACCTTCTTGGACAACAAAGGGGCTCTTTTGTCTCCAGTCTCACTTTCCCTTCTTTCAAAGTTCTTTAAAGCAGCCTGCAAGCTCGTGTTCCTTTCATATTGACCATCTTCTGCATAATTCTTCATGCACATTTGTATCTCATCAGCTGCATTGATTTTCTGTATTACATTTCTCTCCATTTCCACTTGCTCCACAGTGCTGTTCGACATCATTCCTTGGCAGTCTGATTTGCTCCCTGTCTGTGTTTTCTTTTTCTTCCTAGTTTCCTGAGCCTTTGAGTCCATTGATAGATTGTTGATAGAGTCCATTGTTTGATTTAAGTCTTGCGATGCTTCAATACAGTTTTGGTGGGATGTTTCATGTAGGGTCTCTATACTGATTTTGCCATGTGATATGGTTCTTTGAGGTTTATCTTGAGAGGGCGTAGGAAATGGTTTGCTTTGTTTTGGAGGAATCATTGCACTTTGCATGTTGTCTTTATTGTGGCAAGTGACTTCGGGAGCAGCTAAAATATTTGGTTGTTCTACAACTACTGATTTTGTCCATTGTGGCTTTGGAGGTAAAGCTGGCTTCTGCTCCTGAGGTTTCTCACTTGTCTTTTGAGGGAGTGGAGGTGGAGTGACACTCACAGAGCTGGATGATTTAGAAATTCCATTTGCTACAGGGTTGGGTGTTGAATTCTGTATTGTATTGGATGGTTGTCCTTCACAGCTTACTGAAATTGAAGGAGACAACACTGTGTCAGATGGAGGCATAGAGACCACAACACACTGCTTCTGAACAGTCTTGCTCCTTCCTGAACAAGCCTTCCCTGAATTCCTGTATATCATTGCAGCTTTATAGTCTCCTTTGGATACATTTACACTAGACTTCTCAAGAGATTGCAAAGCCAATTGGACATTACCTCTTACAATATCTTCTTTATCTAGGAGCTTCTGCTCTGTTGCTGCACTCTGCAGAGACCTAATAGATGCCTTCACATCTCCTCTGATAACTTCTTCTGTCTCATCTTCTGTTGTCTGACCATTACACTCACAACTTACAAAAGGCAGCAGTGATCCTGGTGCACAATTACTGACTATAACTGCATTTTGTTGACAAGCCTCAAAGGAAACATGGCTTCCCTGATCTTTCTCTGCATCACTGACCTTTGGATACGTCTTGATTTGCTGGCATCTGGAGGAAGACGAAGATGTAGATTGCATCACTTCGGAAGAGCTTTCTTCTTGTGCTGTGACATTCAGGTTGTATATTTTTCCAGGAAAAACGACTTCGCGCTCCACAAGCATGCTTTGCTGCTTGGCCACTTCAAGGGACTTTTTAGCTGCTTTCACATCTCCAGAAATAATGACCTCTTTTTGTGCTTGGTTTCCTTCTATTTCAGGGCCTGACAAGTCCATGTCATAGATAGTTCCAGGTTTAATGATCTCCCGTTCCACACACATGCTCTGTTGCTTTGCGCGTTCTAATGACTGCAGTGTTGCCTTGATGTCCCCAGCCACAATTTCCTCTTTTTCCACCACAACAGGTTGCTGCACTGCAAGTTGTTGCTTTGCTGATAAGATATCCCCAGGGATTATTTCTTCCTTTGGAGCGCAGTTCTCAACACAGAGAGAGCACTCCGACGCAAAAACTTTTTTGGTGTTCTTTACATCTCCTGGCAAAACATCAGAAATGGTTCGCTCTACCTGCTCTTTTTGCAAACAGAGACTTCTCTTTGCTTCCTTCACATCTCCATGAACTATTTCAATGTACCCTTCAGCCAGAAGGCTGTGATCAACTTCATCTGCTGTTGCATTAGTATGAAGACTTTTCAGATAGTTCAAGTCTCCTTTCTCAATGCAACTTTTGTACAGATTCACATTTCCCTTTTCATTTTCATCCACTCTACATGACGCCGCAGTCTTCTGACTATTGGCAGTTGCCAACAGATTTCCAATCGTAGACTTTATGTCTCCCCTCTCTATAACATGACCCTCGGTTTTGGTTTCAGAATCGCAGATGAGTGAATATACTGACATCTCTGCTTGCCCCCCCGCAGTCTCTTGCATTATGATTCCTTTTTTGAAATCCTTATCTTGGACAAGCACTTCCTCGATCCTCTGGACAATGTTTTGTATTCTTTGATCCCTCTCGAGGTTGATAATTGTGGCTGATTCGTAGACTGGAAGTTCTACTACTGTGGTATTCATTTTGCCCTTCTCCACTTCTCTAAGAAGACTGACTTGGGGCTTTAGGGTTGGTTTGAGTAAGAGTTGTAACATGATATTCCTGATGTTACCCCCAACAACTTCTTCTTTCTGAATTTGCACACCTTCATTGACTTCCAGCAGATATTTTGCCATCATAACATTCTTACTCTCATTTGCTTCTATAATGATGCCGCTTGAGTGAACGAAAGTCATTTGGTACAGATAGGACAGGGTGTCAGCAACACTGTTGGCAGTGATTTTGTCCAGTGGAGTGGTCTCAAAGAGCCAGGTAGTGCACTTCACATCAGCTTTTGGTATTTCCTCCTCAGAACCTTGCACTGAGGTATCCTCAGGCTCCTTGATTTTGTCAAGTTGCTGTGATTCAAACAGCCAAGTGCAGCGTTTCACATCTCCTTTCTGGCTGTCTTCTCTGTGGACCGTAGTTTTTACCGGACCTTGCTCCTGAGGTTCCCCTTTCAGACTGTCAATGGTTTGATTCTCAAAGAGCCAGGTGGAGGTCCTGACGTCGCCATGCTGGACGTCGGTGACACTAACCATTCGCATGAATTTCTGGCATGACTGCTCAGATTCAAATATCTGTTTATTGAGTTGCACATTACTGCTTCCCAAGTCTTCAATGACCCGGACAGAGGGCTCATCTCGGCTGGTAAGGGAGTCCAAAGGTTGTGTTTCAAACTTCCATCTGGCTGATTTCACATCTCCTTTCTTGACATCTTCCTGGGTTACAGCTCGGATGACGTAAACTTCCTTGTCTGCCTTGATGGCGTCAAGGGGTTTTGTCTCAAACATCCACCTTGCTCCTCTGACATCACCACTCATTACCTCCTCTTTTTTCACAGTTGTAACTTCATGAAACTCTCCCTCTTTATCTCTGATGGCATACAGTGGCAGGGACTCAAACATCATTGTGCTCGACTTTACGTCAACACTGCTCACAGGCTCCTCCACAGAGTCTGACTTCTGTTCAAGGGGCTGGTCCTGGATTTTGTCCAGTGAGGAAGTTTCGAATATAAACTTTTTGTTTTGTACATCGCCACCTTCTTCACCACTGACTCTCTGAATGTTTGCACCCTCAATGTCCTTATTCATCTGGTTCATGGGACAGTTCTCAAACATCCAGGTACATTTATGTACGGAACCTTTTACCAGGTGTTCGTCTTGGTTCTGTTCATCAGATGTCACCATTTCTGATCCTATTTCATCAAGAGAGTGGGATTCAAAAAGTTCTTTGACTCGTGAGACATCTCCAGACTGAAAGTTGACCTGGCTGACACATCTCACATTGTGTTCAGAGTTTGCATCCTTTCTTATTCTATCCAAGGTTTCAGTTTCAAAAACATGTTTGACTGTTTGAACACCAACCTCCGATTTGACAGAATCCTGTATGGTGTTGCATAGCTTCAGATTGTACTCTTCGCCATCTTTGATGGTGTCTAGAGGCTGTGATTCGAAAAGCCAAGTAATGGACTTGACATTGGTATTGTCAATGGCTTCTTTATCATTGATGTTTTCTGATTTGTCATACAAAATGTTCATTGGTTGTGTCTCAAATAACCATTTACAGTTGTTGACATCACCTTTACGATGCTCGTCTTCTACAGAAGCATCCTGCTCCGTCTGGTTGAACTTGGAGTGGATCCCATCTATTGTCTGGGTTTCAAAAAGCCACTTCGCCATCTTGACATTGCCCGTTGTATCCTCCTGTCTGGTGATGCCTTTGATCACCTCAACATTTGCTTTTCTTTCTGCAAGCTCGTCTAAAGGCTTTGTTTCAAACATCCACTTATAGTTTTGGACCTTTCCTTTGATTAATTCTTCTCGGCTGACTGTTGTGACTGTATGGAGGTTTCCAGAGCTGTCCTTTATTGCATATAAAGGAGTTGTCTCAAACATTGCTTTGGTGCCTTTTACGTTTCCTGCTGCAATCGCCTTTTCCACCTCAATCAACTCTTCATTAGACTGAGCGATTTTGCTCAGTGGAATTGTTTCAAAAAGATGTTTGAATCCTTTAACATCGCCCTTTTCAATCTCTTGTTCTTTGAATGAGGTGTTCTTTTGAATCCTGCAGCTCTCAAATATTTGTTTTTTGCCTTTTACTTCTCCTTGTTCATCAGCTGAAAGGGTAACTTTCTTCAAATGACCAACTTCATAGCTATCATTAAGGGTCTCCATGGGTTGAGTTTCAAACAGCCACAGAGAAGTCTTGACATCTCCCGCAATAATTTCTTCCTTTTCCAAAGACTGCTCTGCGGAGTCTCCTTTTAGTGCTGCCAAGGGTTGCATCTCAAAGAGCTTCCTCTTGTTCACAACGTCGGCCTCTCCAGTGCAATCAGCCACCGTTCCTTCAAACTTGTCCACTCCGATGACTTCTTGTATTGTGTCAAATGACTGAGTTTCAAACATCCACCTCTTTTGGTCAACTCCTCCTCTGTGAGCCTCTTCCAGAGATATACCCCGGATTATTTTTACCCCATCAGTTCCCTTATTAATCAGATCCAAAGGCTGGGTTTCAAAAAGCCAACGGGCAGTGCTGATGTTGCTGCTGTTGATCTCCTCCCTGCAGATGGATTTAATCTCATGGATATTGCCACTGTTGTCTCTGATGGCACAGCAAGGGTCTGCCTGGAAGAGTTTTAAAGTCTTCTGGACATCTCCTTTCTGCTCCTGAAGCTCAGATCTGAGTTTGAGGAAGCTGTGGTCTTCTATGGAGTTGCAGCGCCCAAAGTCACTCAATGGTTTAGACTCAAAAAGCAGCCGAGCCCCTGTTACATCTCCTGGCTGGATAGGTTCTTTCAGCATTGCTTCAACCAGCTCACCCTCTTCTCTTTTTGATTCATTTAGAGAATCTAAGGGCTGGGTCTCAAACAGCCATGTTGATGTTCTCACATCCCCTCTGACAGAATTCTGTCTTTTAGCAGACATGTGTTGGGTGCTGTCAATGTGCTCAAACATAGAGGAGGTACCCCTGACGTTTCCACCTTTTAACTCCTCATCATCCAGCAGCTTCTTGGTTGCATGAGGATCCCCAATATTGTCCAGAGTCCAGTTCTCAAAGATCCACCTCATGGACTGCACTTCACCTTGATAAGCTGCATCTGCTGCTTGAGTATTTTCTGGCTGCACTGCCTTCATTATCTCATCGTCCACTGCATCATCGAGACTTGCCCTTATGCCTGGGTGGATGTGTTTAAAGAGCCTCTTTAGCTCACTCTTATTCCGTTGCTGGTAAAATGTGGAAAAGGTTTCTTTAGGTGGAGGCAGAGGGAGGCTACTTATTGCTGAAGGCCCTTCATAGTCAACGGGTCTGGGTGGTACGGGAGGAGGTGGGGGGAGAGGCAGGTCATCTTCATCATGAGATGATCGTGAAACTGTGATTTTCCTGCCTGCTTCAGCCATCTTTAAATGAAAGACAGATGGGAGTAATATTGTCAGGTTTCAGTAATCAAAAGCAGCATTAGTTAAGGTGCAAATATTAGAATGGCATGCATTTTAGTAAATAAAGCCATACTTTACCTTTGTTTATGCTCGCTTGATGTTAGCAAACCATCCACTGTCACACCAGGGTTAGCAAAACACTTCATAGCTGTTAGTAAGCAGACATCAAACAGACACCTAGTGTTTACTCCAAATGCACCAAGTTACACTAATTTCTAAATGTCTTCCTTTGGAAATGCAAATCTGCAAAGGGTTATTTTTTGGGGAGGTTTTTCTTTTCGCTGCAAGGGTCCAAGGACAGAGGATATCATATGCCATACAGATTGTAAAGCCCTCTGAGGCAAATTCGTAATTTGTGATTTGGGGCTATACAAATAAATTAAATTGAATTAAATCAGCATTAACTTAATGTTTTTGGCCACATGGGGGCAGTGGAAACAAGCTGCATACACAGAAATGACATATTTTCACCATTTGAATGGGAATCTTGTAGGCCAACAGTTGTACATCCAGCAGAGATGGAGCAAAATGATCACTCATTTGAAGTATAATAATCTGATAAATGTAAGTTGAATATTCATTCTCGTTTTATCTCTGTTTTTGGTCTCAACTCCTGAGGGACATATCTGGATCTTTAGCCAGTCTATGCAGCACTATGTTCTCCAGCTGGTTGCTGATTTTGTCTCTTTGGTGCTGAGCAGGTAGGGTACAGTGTTTATTTTTTCTGGAATCAGCTGCCTGCTGTGGACGAAAACGACACTGATGAGGGCAGCGCGACCTGACCAAAATAGTAAAGTTGTGGTCGCAAAACCAAAACAATGAGTTGAAAGATGCTGAAATGCTCCATAGAGCTGACGGGAACTTCATAGTTGGCTGATAGCTATCCGTAGGTTTGTCAACATGAACTGCACCTTTCACATACATGCAGTCATTCGATCCAAATCGATACAGCATAGTATCGCGATATTTCACGTGGCAATATTGTCTCGATACACGGACGCCAACAATCAATCATTTATTATATAAGCTATTAATATTGCAAATACAAATAAAAGCTTTTTGGTAAAATAGCTTTTTCAGTCCACTAGATGGTGCTGAGTTTTCTTGTGGTGGATTGATAAGGATTGGACTATAGTAGACTATAATACAAACAGTTCAGTTTGTCAGGTGCATGATGCAACATTTACTACAGTTACTGTTTGTCAGTCCGTCTACTTAAATGACAAACTTATTTTGCTCCAATAAAAATGATTGAAGTGAGATGAACCGAGTAAAAACTTGATCTTACAAGATTAAACAAATGTTGACAAGTTCATTTTGTGATTAAATGATAAAATCATTTAACACAATCGGTGTTCATATTGTGTGAATAGTGTAAGAATTGTAGCTCTGTAATTGTTCTGCTTTATTGTTGAAAAAGGCCTTTGACCCAAGATGGATGTGACCACCGTCAGCACTTAAACGTAAAAGTTGTTTTATTTTAAATTATGTGTTATGGAAAGTCAAATACAATACAAAATGTGTCACTGTCCAAATATGGTACTTGCAGACCCTAAGTATCTGGCAGATAGTTTACTTTTATTATTGTCACTCTTAATAATTTAGATTTAATGTGTTCACACATTTTGGTGGAGCCCATTGAAAATTTCCAATTTTCTAGTTTTAAGGAAATCTACAATACGAATGGTGGTCAGCTCTGGATGATATACATTACTGTGAAATACATTACTAGTCGTTGTATGTTGATTGTAATGCCGAGGCCATGGGAAAAGAATATGGTGCTGAACATAGAGCAGTTAAGATGTTAAGGTATTTTATCTTACTGTAAATGTCATTAAATGGTGCTGTTATGTTGCTTCTTGACTTCTTGAATGTACAGTATGTCAAAGGTTAACTATGTCGTTGGTCAAACAAGCAAAATAACCGTCAGTTACAAAGCAAACGTAATAACAGAACCCACACACTGCAGTAAAGGATGCTAAATGAACTATACAGTACCTTACTGCTTTTAGCTCTCGTTCCTGGAGTACTGACGAATTCCTGTAGAACAGAAAAATAAAGTGTGGTTTAGATCAGTTTGTATCATGAGTACGTTACATTATTTTCTGTAAAAGCATATATTATTACTGTGCTGCACGTGTGCTATACATGTATATGCAAGTATGCAATAGCTTTCTTGTAAATGTTGAGTCGCTCCCATTGAGAAAGAGCATTGTGGTTATAATCTATTGAAGCCCTTGACCTCAGTGTGTAGGGAGGAATGAGAGGCATTTTAGGAACTCACTGGCTGTGTTGCGCCTCCTGTGGAGTCGATAGCTGCTGCTCTTGACAGATAGAAGGCTGATCTGTCTCTCACCGAGGAGGAAGTAGATATCTTGTCTCTGCTTTGTCTTGTTGGCGTGCCCCCCTTGGTCAGTGATGGACTATATTTGTCATCTGGAATAGAAAAGACAAAATAAATCCAATAAATATACCTAAAATATCTACATTTTTTATAATTTGCTCAGTAACAGTAAAGTAAAAGAACCTTTTAATGCTGTCTCTTTTGCTAGATTAGATTTGTTGACACACACTTGTAGAAATAGGACTCCTTTTCAGTGTCCCGAAATAAGTGTGGAGTGCGACCAGTGCGAGCAACAAGTTAATGATAACACTGTGTGTATATTTTTAGTGACGTAGGAATCTTTCTTATCGCTGTTGCAGCTCCCTCTTAACTTGTGGAAACTATTCCATCCACAAGGCCGACGGTATCTGGCATCCTAACAATGATTCTGAGTCGCTTGTGGGACTTAGTTATTGAAATAAACCAACATATGATTTATTGTGCTTAAGGCAAACATTGTAACAAACAAGTGAGTTTACAAAGGCTTTGATCCCAGTAGCTGACAGGACAAACAGGCCCACACAGCCTGCCTGCTGCTGTGGGACCATCACCAAACTGCATGCCATAGACTGACCATGACACCTGAGAAGGAAAAAAAAGAAGCAGCAACTGCTAGCTCAGCTGGAGTGACACAGATTGTTTGCACATTGTTTGTGTGAGCTCTCCGCCATCAAATCATCAACACCTGACCAACAGGAATGCGCCTGCCTGACCCCGTAAAAAAAAAAAAAAAAAAATGTAGAAATGATCTCAGCTTGGTGTGCGTTAGATCACCCGATTGGTTTACTCTGCAATTATACAGTTCTTTAATTGATTTTAAAAAAGCCAATTTCCTCAATACGCATCACAGTTTGAGTAAAGTTCATGGTAGATGTGTCAAATTCAGAACGCATTTCAACAACAACAACAGCAGCACTGTGAACAATACGACCAAAGGTCGACAGCCCAGAGTGCTGCACAGGCCATCCGGCTGGCCAGATTTGAACACACCTCCCCTTTTCACACACTAAGCCCTCGCAGGACAAAAGGATGGACCAGCAAGCTGGCGCCTCTCACGAGTCCGGACTTAAACTATTTTCATAGATGGGTGAGCAGACTGAATGAGACAACCGCGTGCCATGCGTGTCCTGTGGAAGTCCTACCCACTCAACTGAGCGGTCAACTTCATCACTTATCACCATACACACGTATCAATAGCGGGGGAAAATACGGATGTGTAAAATCCAGTAGTTACCAAATCAAAAGTGACTCAAAGCTTCATTGGCCTTCGATACCTTCCCTCAGTGATTCCCACCCTTTGACAGCGATTTCTGCTGACGTCTCTCTGATCTGGGTTCGTTCTCCAGGAATGAAGAGGAGCTATTAACGGCACAGTAATGTGGGGGCGTTTAGGGCCGCTGGCAGCTGTACAAATGATGGTGAAATGCAGTTGGTATTTGTTCTTCACTACCACCACCTTCACCACCGTCAGCTGTTGGCGATTGCCGCCACATTCACAGACTGTAATGAAAACCAGCATGCCAAAAGGCCCCGAAGAGCACATCGCACCAGTATTACACCAGTCAATAAAAGCTAGGTCTGATTTTCCTTATTGCTTTAAAGGCAGATATGCTGCTTCTCATTCCACAGTTCATCATGACTCTCGTGATGATAGAAGGACAGAGAGATAATGATTGAGTGATCCTGTTGTCTGACCTATTCCAGACATTTCTATGAATAAAGGGCTGAAAACGTATAGCCACTTAAGACTTAATGATGATGCCAGCAATGTAGTCACACTCCAATTTGGGACCTTGTTTAGCTCTGGTATCACTCATAAAGAAAAAGCCATGAATATGAAGGAAATGGAAAGCATTTAGATCATCATAGTTTCTTTTTGTTTCTTTGTTCAAAATCAGAAATTGAAAAAAAAAAAAAAAAAAATCTAAGCTTTTAATCCGTAATCTTTAAATGAATCGCAGAAAAGTATTGGTTTCTCAGTGACTTAACATCGACAAATAAAATTTAATATTTTGAATATTGTTATACTGAAATAAACTGAAAGAGCATCCACTAAACTCCATGTTCATTTGCTTATCTTACATATCAATCACGTCAGACAGATTCATGAAACAGAACAAAGCAGCTTATACTCAGTCGTTATTATACAGTATATTTTAAACCGGCTACGCATTCGCCTCAGTTTCCTCCAATTAAAACTCATGATACTCACTAAAATACCATCCAGCGTCGTTCTCTGTCCCTTCCCTGTATATGTCCGCTGTGCTGGATAACTTAAGGCCCCTGTGATGTGCGATACAGCCTGTCTCCTCTCTCCGTGCTTCTCGGTTCACTGTGACTGAACTCTTTCTAGTCCTGTGGCCTCAGTGACAGCTGATTTTTATCAGATCCCACTGCCCTAGTGGAAGACTCTGGCTATTTTGGGAGGGTGGGCTGGCGGCTGCTGCTACTCGGCTGAGTCAATCACCCCTGTTAGTCACTGAGAGACTGAGGCACCCCTCCACCTCCCATTCCCAGAGCTATATTGTCACCCACTATAACGGGCACTGGGTGGGACCTGCAGTATGTGTGTGAGCGGGTGTTTGGTGGGCAACATATTAAAAAAAAAATACATACTTAAGGTATTTTGGTAAAGTGGTAGACGGATAATGCTACAAAGGAGACTATTTCATATTAGTATTGTCACATTATGTTCTGCTACATAATGCTGGTAGACCATAAGATGATTATCTAGTGGTTAGCCAATTCATAGCTGAAGTTTATTTTACATATTTACACCGGTGTTAAGGAAAATACATTATGATTTATGTCGGTCATCCTTTCGACTCACATTCCTCTGTGTCTTTTTCACACCGCGTACATCTCAGGGTCAAAGTGTCAAGCACGATATGCTGGCTTGGTATCAGTTCCAGGACACAGAGAGGCACATGGCTCAGAGGGCCACGGTCTGCGTCATGGTCCGAGCCATCAGCAACAGCCTCACTCCTATCTTAAGCATGTAAGCCAAACACATAGTTATGCATTTACACCGCAAGATCCTTTCTTTATTTAGGTTACCCTGCAACTCACAGGGCCAAAGAACACAGAGGTCAGTGTTTACTCATGTCAGGATGTGCACGCTGACACTTTAAATACCCGAGGCATTTTCACTCTGGTAACTTAATCTAGATTAATATGAGATACTTGATCTCCGGTGATGCTCAAGCACTGTTTTTGGCACAGACGGATAAATGTCTCAGTCTACATACATATTCCAAAGACCCAGCAAGAACACAGACTTCCTCAAAGGTCAGAGATGGTGGTCTTAGTTTTCCAAAAGGTTTCAATAGTCCTTTAGAGTGATTGTGAACCGTGGTACCAAAATACAACAGTGATCTAATGCCTTTGGGGTGGGGACCCGGGCACCAAACCCCATCTGCCCTATCAAATCTCAGTGACTATAAACATGACAACAAGCACCACTGCTCACCTTGTGAGTATCTGGATGCTGTGGCTGAAGACTCTGGGAGTCCATTCATGGCCTTTCTGCCTTCCACCTGGGCGGCTCTCTGTGGATAAACAACATATAGTGTGGTGAAGACGGTTACAACACACTGTTTTTGTGTTGTTTATTAATAGTTTGACATTTAGAGATATACTTTTATTCTGACAGCCAGTACCCTTAAACTAAAGCACCCAACTCTCCAAAAAAAACAAGAATAGTTTATTGTACATTTCATTTTCATACAGGTTAAATTAATGAGATAGATCATATTATTTAGTGAGCTTTACAGGTGCTGCAAGGTTGGTTTTGTTACATTTGGACAGTGCATTCTACGTTTTCCCCTGCCTTATGCTAAGCTAAGCTAACTGCCTTCAGGCTGTAGCTTCATATTTAGTGAACAGACATGAGAGTGGTATCTGTTGTCACATTTCACTCATAGCAAGAGAGTGATTTCCCAAATGTATTCCTTTAAAAACATGTGTGATGCCAGATTGGCCACAGCTTCCATGGGAGCTTGTGTTTCTGTCACGAGGTGAAGGTGTTGTGTTAAATGTCTGGTTGTTTACTTTCAATGTCTGCATCTATGAGCTAAATGAACTGTTAACTGGACTCTAGGGTACAAAGAATCAAGGACGGCATCACTGAGCACAGTCAATGTAGTGAAATCTGCTCTAAAAATGATACATGTTCTAAACTCTCACACCTGAATGGTTGTTTCCTTGTGACTTCTCCAATCCAGCAGAGGGCAGTCTCTCACTGTGTTACTGCCAGTAGCAGAGGCTGAGTTCATCCGAGGGCTGCTGTTGAAGCCTTGCTGCAGGGTGGCCTTGGACTCAAACAGGGCACACAGAGCTCTGGTGCCTGACGACTCCCTCTGAGGGAGGAAGTCCATGGAGCGACTCCTGGACAAATTGGAGCTTCCTCCGGATTCCCAGATGGCCACGTTCTCGCCGCCCTCCAGTTGCCTCCATCGACCGTCCACACAGCTTTCTGACACCTGAAAGCAGCAATTCAATTTTATGCGTGTGTTTTTGGGCAGTGTTGTTGTTGTTGTATTGGTTGTAACATTTTATTACACATAAAAAGATGTATTACCGGAAGTTTATGCTCCTGTTTTTCGATACCCCTCAGGTCAGCACAGCTTTGGTAACTGTTTGGCAAAAAGGAATTGACAAATTTATAAACAATTCTTTTTATTTGTATCCAAGAATCAGCTGCAAATTCGTGAGCAGCAAAAGTGAATGAAACTGTCTATGTGCCCTTGAGCAATGCTCAATTTTCATTTTCTTATTGGCTACCAGAAGTAGAATATACTGGGAAGCTACCAATGTCTTTGGTTTAATGCTGTATGTGCACATACGGTATATTGTGCAGAACTTACTGTTCTACCAGCTGAGACACAGACTTCCTGTCCCAGCGGGTGGGAGCTGGCATGACCCATGACCTCTCCTGAACCCCAGAAAGACTCCTCAGGGACTGGGTCCTCCTGAGGCCAAATGTCTCCATCGCAGTCCCTCTAACAGCAGCTAAAATAAGCAAATGTTACAATAATATTGAATAACCTTAAATCGCCTCATTATTGTGTGTTAATTCACTGAAAGTACATGACTTGTAAATGCTAAATCACATGCTTAGAGGAGCTTATTGTCAGTTAGAGTAAACAGATTCTGACTAGAAGTACAGCTGAGGTTTGACTTCCTTTTAATTATTATACAACAGATTGTCACACTGACAGTCATATGACTCTGTTAATGTTTATGAACTCCTGCACTCAGACAGCAAACCACAATGTGCTCCTCTGTATGCCTGTGTCTTATTGTACAATCACCAGGATTATATTGTAGCTCAAGTGCCATACTCTCAAAATATCAAAATTTTGAACAAAGAAATCTATGTTCAAATGTATACTCTATAAACTCATATATCGTAAGAAATAAGCTACAAAGCGGAATATTACATTACATTACAGTCATTTAGCAGACGCTTTTAGTGACTTACAATAAGTGTATTCAACAGGTATTCAAGAGAACTACTAGTCACCAGAAGTCATAAGTGCATCTCCTTTTTTCAAACAAGCATCCAAGAGCATAAACCAGAGCCAACGTACAGTGCAGAAACAAACGAATGCAATAAGTGCAGCAAACTAGTATGAACACAATAAATGCTAAGTAAGTGTTAAGTGGAAGGCTCAGGGTAGGCCTACTCGTGGAATATATGTGGAAATATAGCTACAATATTGCCATTGCGAATGAGACTACGCTGCTATTCTGTCTGCAAAATCAAAAGAATATTCAACACCATACCTGAAGAGAAGACGCTGAAGTCACCTGTGCATCTCTGTCACTTGTGGTTTAGGAGCATCTCTCACAAGACACAGCAATTTCTAGTGGTCAAAGTCCTTCAGCACCTTGTGATTCAAGGCTTCTGGTTACGGGAAACACATCACCTGATACATTTCTATGATGGACTAATTAGAGTAACCTGTGGTACTCTGTTAAGGTGGCAATATGCATATGAATAAATGGATCAACGGATCGAAAGCCAGACAGCGCATTGGACAGTGAAATGTTTGTGGAACACGCGTCCAAACAAGTTCTCCCCCCAGTAGCTTTAAGATATAAAATGGATATATGTTAAAGTCACTACATTAAGTCAAAAACTGTTAGCTTCCTGTCCACACACACCTGATTCTCATTACCAGGCCCTTACCTATATGCACTTTAGGTCAATGTGCCACCCACTGTTCAATGTCAGAACTGCATGTGTAAACCCACCTCAACACATCTATTTAACAGTTTAAAGATGAACTGAGCATTATAAAGTACACAAAGGGAGGATTCAATGCAGGACTGCTGAGTGTATGTTGCTTTTTTATTTTAATGAGCAATGCAAGTCATTTGAGTTTGTCCGCTTGGTAGATTGTCTTCATGCCGAGCTTAGTGGCTTCCAAGAAAAGGTCTTGAATCATATATTAAAAGAAAAGATATTTGACACATTAAATTGATAGATTTTAAATTGACTTTAGCATAAAGTCCCTCCAAATATGACAGAAGGATGGAGGCATTAAGGCAAGTTGTATCTGTGTTTTACTGCTAATGTTCACTCACTAACTCATGTGACATAATCCCATCTGTGTTTCTGCCTAGCTGAACTGATTGAAAACATGGATAAGAAAGCAACCTGGGACCGCTTCTACACTGAGAGCAGCAGCAGTACAAACACTTTGAGTGGTTCTTTGGCTTCGATGCTGTCCGGGACTTCATTATGCCCCTATTGCAGACCAAGCCCCACCCAGACGGTTTGCTCCAAGTCCTGGATATGGGCTGTGGCACTTCTGCTTTAGGGCCCTGTATTTACAGACACTTTCCTCTCCCGGTCCGGGTCGCTTGCGCAGACATTTCCCCCATAGCTGTGCGACTAATGCAGGAAGACGTCCAAACCAAAGCCATTCAACCTCACAATCTTTCCTCTCGGCTTGAGTTGGTAGAGCTGGACTGCACACAGCTCCACAAGCACTACGGTTGTAGCAGTGTGGACCTTATAGTTGATAAGGGCACCACAGACGCCTTGTTGAGGTCTACGGAAGGGAAATAGAAGGCCAATCAGCCGAAGTCTGTTCCTCATGTCCAGTCTACTCCCTAATTTTGTTTTGATTGCCGTCACTGCCGAACATCCCGCTTCACAGAGAGGATGAAATGGAAGCAGGAAGCAGGGTTTTCAGTACTTTAGTGGCGATCTCAGGATATTCAGCCTTGATTTGAATCCAAACACCAGCAGAGTTGTTGTCTCAAACATACTTTTAAGGCCACCGTCATTTACAATCTCCAGCAGCTAATCCTCTGTCAACACATAGGCCAAATCCCAATGTCCCCCTTACGGATTCACAGACTTTGAGGCGCGCTCCCGCGAAGTCCGTGAGGGTTTAGGGCTGTCCCACTGTCAAATCATCAAGTGTTTGAGGGCTCTCTCGCAGACATTTTGAGCCCTTTCCGTAAGTCAGCATGGTATGCTGATTTAGCCTAAGGGAATTACCCACAAATCATTGCAATGTGACGTTAAACACCGGGTAACCAGTGGACGCATGGAGGCCTAAAAAAAAGGTAAACAAAGAAGACGGCTCAAGTGTGTTCAGCCTGTCATAATAAATTTACTCAGAAACATTAAGGGTTAAAGATGGAACAGAAAATAAACATGAAATCAGAAGATATTTATTTATTTATTCATCAAATATTTGATTTAGTTATTGAAGCTGTTTTGACAAAAACGAGTAGATTATATGAAGTTACCTCTCATCATGTGAGAAAAGAGCCTGAAGACATTCACATCAGGGAGTACAAAATATAAAATAAATACCTACAATTATACATCATATTTGTTGTCGTTTTCATGGTAACGTGACATGTTGCAGCAAAGTGCTGTCCCATTCCTATTTACGCCATCTCAAGCCCTCACACTCACCCCCTTACCAGGTGATGTCAGTAAGTCCTTGAGGGTTCAGGGTTTGAGGGTTTAGGGGGGACATTGGGATTTGGCCATCCTGATATCCAATTAGACTCCTGATATTGTCTGTTAAATGAAGCTTTCATGTTCTTGGAAGTTGTCGGCTCTTCTTCTGTCTCCTTAGTGACCTTTCACCCTTTGCAAAGAAGCTCTCCAAAAGTCATTTACTCATTTTCGCTAGTTTGCGGGCTTAATTTTTGAGGTAACGTATCACGTGACCGAGACAAGCGTCTTGATGTGTCAGAGGCACAGGCGGATGAAATTGCGAGAGAATCCGGTCATTTTTCAAAATAAAACTTCTTTCAGAGTCTGATAATCAATAAAACGGAAATAATATAATATTTATTCTTCACAAAACACTCAGTGCTTTATTTATTGAAGTCACAGGAGTATACAAAAATATACTTGACCATGTGGTTATTTCATAATAAGGTTATTTACGTCTCAAAATGACTTTATTGATTTAATCAGTTATATCGGACAGATGGTAGTCCACCCAGTCCTTTTTACCTGTTGAAATCATTTTAAAACGGGCAATACAAACCGAAAAATGAGAAATCATTATAAATACAGTCTGGTTTCCAAATATAAACAAGATTATTAGACATACCAAGCACACATTATCAGAAACTAACATTATTATTTTGCCTAGAATATGTAAATCCCATACTAATGGACACAGTTGTGATCAGCATAGATGCATACAAGCATAGACTGTACATAAGAGGTTACAAGTAACATTCCTCAAAGCCATGTCTTTGACTTTACCACGCGCTCCTTCACCGTTGTAGTTTTCCAACCAGGACTCCAGGTGCCACGTGCGTGTCCCTCTTAGAAGCTCTATAATCCAGCCTGGAACAACGGGAGCTTCTGTAGTGAGTTCATAATATTAATAAAGAAATGTCTTCAGTGATTGATTAGTTATCCGCTTTTCCGTATTCAAAGGAGTAGTTGTTGTTGTTGTTAGCCGAAGCATCGAGCTCAGGTAGTCATTAGATTAGTCTTCGTCAGCTGTGTCTTTATTGGATCACAAACCAACCACAACTGCATACCGCCACCTACTGTATGGGAGGTTGTAGAGTCATGGCACTAAGAAAAGTAAGTAAAGTAAGTGTAGTGACTTTAACATATAGCCATTTTATATCTTAAAGCCACTGGGGGGCGAACGGGAGAACTTGTTCGGACGCGTGTTCCACAAACATTTCACTGTCCAATACGATGTCTGGCTTTCGATCCGTTGATCCATTTATTCAAATGCATATTGCCACCTTAACAGAGTACCACAGGTTACTTTACAGGATACTATAAGACCTTGAAACTACAAGCTCATATGCCCGCTGACACGCTACATTGACACGATAACACGGTCAAAAACTGTTAGCTTCCCGTCCACACGCGCCTCCAGGGGGTGCGCGAGAGGAAAAATGTAATGGTGGTCTAATGGTGTAATAATTGATATTAAATCTAATTTAAAAAAATTAAGTGGGATTTTTCACAAAAACATGAATTATAAAAATTCCCTTTGTAACATTTTAATTTAAAAACTGCCGCCAGACTGTCTTTTACGTACACACTAGCTAGCCTAGCTTGTGCAGCTAACGTCAGCTAACAGCTAACTTCATTCATTCAGCAACGTTCATGCAAATATGCTAAACTGGCTGAAATCTGGGAAACTGTCAGGTGGGACATCTGAAGCTATCAGTCATAAAAGAGGAGAGAGAGAGAGAGAGAGAGAGAGAGAGAGAGAGAGAGAGAGAGAGAGAGAAACGGAGAGGTGCGTTGGGGAGAGACCGGGAGAAGAAATCGAACGGGAGTCAGAGAAAGATGAGACGGAGGAGACCGAAAAGGAGGAAGGGATAGCACAGACACATCGAGAGCACATAGGCCCATCGCGGAGTCAAGGTGAAAAAAGAGGAAATATGATGAAAATGATCTGGGTCTGGGCTTCACTTGGATTGGCAATGCAGATTGCCCAAAGCCACAGTGCGTGGTGTGCAGTGAGGTTCTGGCTAACAGCTGTCTGAAGCCCTCTTATTTACGTCGCACCTGAACACCAAGCATGCCAGTGCAAGTCAAAAGCCCCTTACATTTTTTATATCGAAATTGGAGGAGTTACAAAACAGCCCAAAACAACTGCAGTCTCATTCATGTGTTGGGTCTACAAAACACGCACTACGGGCTTCATATCTGGTCACAGAATAGCAAGAAGCTGCCTCACACAATCGCCGAAGACGTGTGCTTACCAGCTGCCAAAGAGATGGTGGAATGTATGATTGGAGAGAGTAACTTTATTGTAATTCGATTCAGATTAATGTAACCGCTATGTATGGTTAATTGTAAATTAAATGTGATGCAATCTGCCTCTGAGCCTGTGCGTGTGTCCTCGCCATCCTTATTGCTCTTTCAAAGTGACGCCTTGTGTAACTGAAATGTATTGAAACTTTGTTGCAGTGTTTCAGGGCGTTTTCACACCTTCAGTTCGTTTGCT